ACCATCACCGCTACAATCCTTGTCACTGCTTCCAGTACCACCACTGATACTTCTACCACTTCAAAATAAACCACTACACAATAAAATTATTTTCACCAATACTGGCCTCGCCCACACCACCACCACTAGCAGACACGCGCTTGCCAAACAATAACTGTCGTTGTATCGTCCCTATACCTCCTCCCCCCCCTCCCCCACCCCTTTCTGCCTCTAACCCAGTTGAAAACACTAATGGGAAGATTATCCAACATATGCTCGTTATAAACATCAACAGACGGAAAGTCATTAACGGGATCAAAAGACGTGTTTTACAACTGAGTTGGCGCGCTTGTCGGGAGACAATTCGACCCCCGGGTGGCGTCTGGCCCTCGACCCGCTGGAGGAGCCCCCCTCACTCGGTACTTCGCCCAAGACACTTCCAGTTGTGAGTCAAGAGTCGCCGAGAGGATCTCTCAAGCCGAGGGGATGCGAGAGAGATGTTTGAGGAGGTTATTAATTATTTGTGGCAGTCTGTTGGCTATGGGGCGGCGAGTGGGTGGTCAGAGGGCGCTTATACAGTTATGGGAACGGCAGGATTGGGGGAGAGGAGGGTAGCAACAAGAGCAGGAGAGCTGTTGTTGGAAGGCCATTGTCTCCTCGTGTAGTCCATTGTCAAGTATTGAGGCTCCTGTGTGGTAAGTTTTCAACTGTGAATTCCCACTTCCCTTCCCTGCCGTGCTGAGAATGTGACCTCTCTAAACACCAGAGTTTGACTGTGTATTTTTGATGTTTTAATTAAATCCATTATATGCTTTGCGGTGTTAAATGGGTGCATAGAATGTTTTGTTGAATGATGATAGACTGATACTGAACCAGGATTAAGAACAAGAAAAAATAAGATTGCCAAGGATTACCAACTAAATAAACATAGGCTTAACAAGAATTAAGAACAAGATAAACAGCATTAACAAGGACAGTCGCTAGTGGCACAGAGATAACACTCTGTCTCACGCATCGTAGGCGATTTGTCCAGGCCAGGGAGAAATGTCTGGACGTCAGTCTTTTACTTGTTTGCCTCTGTTCACCCAGCCGTAATAGGGTACTTGGTTATTAACCAAGTGGCAGGTCGTGTTCCAGGGAAAACTAGCGGGAAATGCTTACCATGAGCTTGGGAAGGGAAAATTATCAGCCTTAGAGTTAGAGGAGTAACAGAGTTAGTAGAGTTATGACTGTACTCGCCTGTGTAAAAAATAGAACACGCTTCCTAACTGACATAATGGTAAGCTTGATGCAACGGCCCACTAACACGTGCAGTGAAAAGGTTCTTTATAAATATTCAAAACTAGTTTGACATTATTTTTTGAAAGCGAAAGTAGGTGAACTGATTTGCTGCGTAATTTACTTGCTTTGATAATTGAGAGAGATCCAAGAGGCTCTCTTGGATCTCTCTCTCTCTCTCTGTTCCCAGGGAACAGTGTGTTTGTGTGTGTGAGAGAGAGAGAGAGAGAGAGAGAGAGAGAGAGAGAGAGAGAGAGAGAGAGAGAGAGAGAGAGAGAGAGAGAGAGAGAGAGAGAGAGGTAAACAAAAATAAGGACAGGAAGAGAGAGGACGTTGTAATAACAGAAAAAATAAAAACAAGTAAGAAATCAAGCGTTCTAAATTTTGTCTACGGTCAGCATACGTTCAGCATTCTCCATTACACTTTATGTAATAGGAGTATATAAGCAGCTTCAACATGAGCAGCATACTCTCAACTCGCTCCACTACACTCATTATATTATACGAGTATTTCAAGCGTCTTCAACATGGTCAGCATACTCTCAGCCCCCTCTACTACACTCATTATATTATCCGATTATACAAATAAAGTTCAACACGGTCAGCATACTCTCAGCCTGCTCCGCTACACTCAGTATAGTGCATCAGTAAACAAAGCGGCGACAGCATATTGCGACGGATTTGCTAGGATAATTAAATTGTTGATCTTGGTTCAACAAAACACTGACAACGAAGATACCAGGACGAAATGCATTTTAGTGTCTTCGCCAGAGAGAGGGGGAGTGAGAGGGGAGATGGAAAGGAAGTAATGGAGGGGAAAGGGGTAGGAGAAGGGGAGATGAAGAGGGGTAGGGAAAGGGAGCCTGAGTTTATCTTGCGGTGGAGTAGAAATACATATATTAATTACATTAAATCTGAAGTCATGGGAAAGCCTGTAAGTGGTAGAGAGTGAAATTATACACTTCCTACACTACACATTATACACTACACTTATAAATTATATAGTGGTTATGAAGTTATGAAGACAGTGGTTACAGTAGAAGCCTAGGAAATCCTTGTGTGTTCAGAAGAACGTCAGGGTTGCAATCCTTATACCATGTCGTGGTCTATAGTCGCTAGAAACGTGTGCATCTAAACACCCCACCGCATGGGTTCGAACCCTCATCACTGCTCCTATGGATTTTCTCATTGATGCAATCACGTTAGTGTGATTACTCTCTGTGTATGAAGTTGTTGGGGATAGCGGTTATGAAGTTCGTGGTGGTGTTGGGGATAGTGATTATGAAGTTCTTGGTGGTGTTGGGGATAGTGGTTATGAAGTTGTTGGTGGTGTTGGGGATAGTGATTATGAAGTTCTTGATGTTGTGAATAGTGGTGGTGACGTTGTTGGGCATGGCAGCATAGTGACGGTGTTGGTGGTGTTGGGGATAGCAGTGGTGACGTTGGTGGTGATAATGGAGATATTGGTGGTGATGGGGATAATTAAAGCAGCCAATGCAGGCAGAGTGACGATGTTTAATGGTGGTGGTGTGTTGGTGATGTTGGGAGCCACTTCGATAACACACATTTTACAGGTGTGTCGGGACAGGGAAAACCTAAAACCACAGATATTAAGGGAAAATTTTTTAATTAATAAATAATTGACATCCAAAGGGAACTCGTACAACAAGAAAATACACATCTGAGGGAAACATGACAGCTAGAGATCTGAGAGGAACTGATAAAGCCTGTAATTATACATATGCGAAAGAAAAAAATATAATTCAACAATAACAGAGGGTTGAGGAGAAACCTGAGATCATAGACACCTGTGGGGAAACCTAAGATCACAGACAGCTGTGGGGAAATCTGAGATTACAGACAGCTGTGGGGAAATCTGAGATTACAGACACATGAGGGAACATCTGAGATCACAGAAAATATAGAAAACAAGTAGAGTAATTGTATCCAAAAAAAACAGGTATGCCATCTTACATCTTTCTATTGAGCACAAATAGCCACAACTCTAAATCGTCAAATAAGTATTATATATATACGTTACTACTCCTAGCCTTATGCTTGGGTACAAGTATCTCTGGGAGTTTACACTTCCTGCTGAAGTAAATCTGCCCATCTGTAAACCCTGCCGGTAAAGATATTCACATGCTCTACGTCACTATGTAACTGAATGTGAAAAAATCGCATAATTCAGTGTTCAATAAATATGTAAGCACTTCATTCAAAATTATGTAGTATAGAAATATTTACTAAATATCCAAGGTTTGTTTATTGTGGGTAGTACATCCACATATCTTGAGGTTATCTTGAGATGATTTCGGGGCTTTAGTGTCCCCGCGGCCCGGTCCTCGACCAGGCCTCCACCCCCAGGAAGCAGCCCGTGACAGCTGACTAACTCCCAGGTACCTATTTACTGCTAGGTAACAGGGGCATTCAGGGTGAAAGAAACTTTGCCCATTTGTTTCTGCCTCGTGCGGGAATCGAACCCGCGCCACAGAATTACGAGTCCTGCGCGCTATCCACCAGGCTACGAGGCCCCCTCCACATGATAGTAAATTTTCCACAGGAGACGCCCACTGATGGGCGAGATGAGCAGGATTATCAACTTGGTAACTGGCTCACCACAGATGTACACTGCTATGTGCAGACTGCTGTGGGACCAAATGAACTTCAGAGTTCTCTTCCAGAGCCAATGATATGCCTCTGTGATCTTTTTCACTACCGCCTGTGGGATGGGTATTCAGCGTGCATTATAAATTAACAAAATCTATTTGAAGTAGTGTATTATAAATATCCAAAAAGGCATTCTACCTTGTATTAAATTCATGCCCTAAAAATTATACAAGTCACTGAAGACGCAGGATATATGGATGTACAAAACGGGAAGAAGATTGGACTCTAAACAATAATTATGTTACAAGAGTAGGTACAGGTAACAATGACAATCTATATGTCTATAAAGGAGACTATCTGTTTTGTATTTCTGTTTGTCTGTCGGTGCATGATTGGAGGTCAGACACCTGTGGGTAGTCTGTTGCAACTTTCAATGGTGATTTATGATTGTCTGGGGTAGTGTGATAGGTGGGATGGGAACGACACCTATAAATCCTCATTAAAAAGGATTGGATCCTACTGTGGCAACCAACGACTTCTAAGTCAAATAGGGGTTTTGGTTTACCATAGAGTGTTCGCTAGATAATCGATTGTTCACCACACACAATGTTGTTATAGCGTTGTGGCAAAATAACAACAGTAAAAGTATCACTGAGGTTACTTTATGTCTTTGGAGGTTACTTTATGTCTTTGGAGGTTACTTTATGTCTTTGGAGGTTACTTTATGTCTTTGGAGGTTACTTTATGTCTTTGGAGGTTACTTTATGTCTTTGGAGGTTACTTTATGTCTTTGGAGGTTACTTTATGTCTTAGGAGGTTACTTTATGTCTTTGGACGGTATTTTATGTCTTTGGAGGTTACTTTATGTCTTTGGAGGTTACTTTAAGTCTTTGCCTGGAGTGTATATTGCATGTTTTGAGAGAAACAGGAATTGGAGAAAGAATGGGGGAAGGTGAGAGGGAGAATTCAAGAGGAAGGAAGGGAAAGGGAGAAAAGTAGGGAGTGCAAGAAATAGAATGGGAGGGAGAGAGATAACTGGGGGGGGGGAGGGAGAGAATGGGAAGGAGGGAAGGAGAACAGAAGGAAGAGAGAGAACATGAGGTATCCCATGTAGTTAACAATATATTCCTAAGATGAACAAATTATTTATTTTTATTTATAATGTTATATCAGACGTTACAGCAAAACCCCAAGACAGCAGTAGCAGCAGTTGTACCCATAACAGTCTCAGCAGCAGCAGTGCCAGCAGTATCCATAACAACCGCAGCAGCAGCTTTAGCAGTACCCATAACAGCCCCAGCAGCTATACTCATAACTGCCCCAGCAGCTCCAGCAGTATTCATAACAGCCCCAGCAGCTATACTCATAACTGCCCCAGCAGCTCCAGCAGTATTCATAACAGCCCCAGCAGCTATACTCATAACTGCCCCAGCAGCTCCAGCAGTATTCATAACAGCTCCAGCAGCAGCTGCAGCAATACCCACATCAGCAGCTAAAGCAGTACCCACAACAGCAGCAGCAGCCGCCAGTGTTTGTCTCAGTGTCGTGTTGTTTTAGATTCAGCTACTCGGAACAAAAGTTCCAAGTAGCACGGGCTATGGTGAGCCCGTAGTGGACTTACCTGGCACAGGAGCGGGGCTGTGTGTCGTGGCCACAAGGGGTATATATGCTGATCAACAAGAGAGGTGTTGTTCCTGAAGCCCAGCATACAAGGCGGATCTCGCTGGCTTTACACCGACTTCAGCTCAATGTGTCTGAAGCAGCCTCAAGTTTTCTCTGTCCACCGGCTGATGGGGGACTATTTTCTTTTTCCAGCCATCTTGTGATACAGCATTCATGCGTGTATGATCTCCTTTGTGTAACCCTTTCACAACGTTAGCATGAAATACTGCAGATCCATAAAATTAGAAAAATGTTTTGTTATAAAGTATTATGTCTGTAGATGATTTTATTACTTATAAGTGGTTACACCAACTTATTCAACCACATTACGTTGGGTTTTTTCATCGTCTACAAGTGGATGTGACCTGAGGACGGATTATGTGTTGTGTGACGTTTTTTCCCTAAAGTTGTTTCGCTAGAGGTTCGTTGTTGTGGTTCCGTGTGATTGTGACAGCCACTCACCTGCTCACCTAGATGTGCTTGCAGGGTCAAGCATTATCTCCGGAGCGAGCAATAAACTTTCCAGCTGTTTCTTATCACATTTCTCTTAGAGCTGTGTATTGAACTGACATCAATTGTGTTATCATATAACCCTTTTCACTTTACTATTCTTAAGCTAAGTCCTTCCTTATTATTATTAACATCTATATTGACCAAATTTAATTAAAATTTTGCCTAATATGAGGAATTTTAAGTCTTATTAGAGTGAGGATAATGCTGGTATTCACTGTCACACAGGACAGAGGGTCATACGCAAGTCAATAGGTCTAAACTGTAGGCTGAAGCACATATATATCATGGTTACAATCAATGTTTTAATGTACGAATATGTAAATACAACTTTCTATTGTGCACTGTCACACGAGAGCAAGGACGGGTTCGTAAGAGATGCCGCATAAAAATAATATAAATAAAATTATTCTTCATTCTTTAAAATGTACAAGCAAATTTTGGGTCATTCCTGACATCTGTGGTTCATATGAGCGTCCTTCTTCCAACCATACCTCTTAATTATACCATTGTATATCTTTATTAACCTTTCCCGAGAATTCTTCACGTCGTCATCATGACACCTTTATTACTTTCTGCTCCTGTAGGAGAAGGCCAGTTGCCTCAGCCTGTCCTGAAAGGATATAGTCCTCTCAGCTCAGATACAAGCCTCTTTGCATGCCTCTGGACTTCATGAAGTAAAGCTTTGTAATAGTTTTGGTTGCGACTCCACCTCAGGCTTATATACTATAGGATGATCACCCGTAGGATGTTTAAATCATTCTGGAAGCCTCCATACTTTGATTCCCAAATGGTATCCGGATATCCAGCAGTTTCACAAACTCCAAACATATTATCTTGCCTTCGTGAGCCCCCAATGTTAGATTGAGGTTATATCTTCTCCAAGATTCTTCTTTGATTCAGAGAACTTTCGTTTCCTCATTTTACATTGAACCTGGGACCTTTCCATTCTAATCCCATGTACAGTATCCATTTCTCAAACCAGCCAGGGAGCTTTTCAGACCATGCATCATTCTTCTGCTCAAAATCTCTTTAGTTTTATGTTTTCCAAAAACAGTGATGTCATCTACTTTGTCAGACCCTTAACATGTGTATTGACTCTAGTACTGTCCCTCGTGGTACTCCTCTCATTATTGTTCACTTTGATGCCTCTTCCCTCACCGAGTTCATGTGTGTTATTGTCAACAGGTACAGTATTATCGCCCATAATTTGGAATCCAGTTACCTGTGCTTTGTTCTCGGGTTCATATACAAGTATCTTTCGTGGCTCTCCGTCAAAAGATACCGCGACGAAGAGCTTAAGCAATTTCGTCCAGTAGGTCTTCCCTTCCATGATTCCCTGATAATTGTAGGGACGAAGCTCACATCGATCATGACAGTTCACAAGTCTCATTCTAGTTATCCTCTCTGGTACTATCTAGGGAATGAAGATTAGCGAGCGATACTGACCTGCAGTATTGGCCTGCGTCACTATGTGCAGGTAGGGGGGCCTTACCGAACCTGTGCTTCACATTGTGCAGGATGGGACCGTTGTGGACACCTGCTTCACCGTGTACACAGGTGCATGGAGGGGAAGGCGAACGGCTAACTTCGTTACTTAATTAATAAGAGAGGCAGCAACATGGGAGAATGTGAGCGACTTTCACCTGTCCGGCAGAGCTCTGCAGTTGCGTCATTCGTTTGCTCCAGTGAAGGTGCAAACACCTCGCTATGGCAGGTGTGACGTGATAATTACGGAACTAAAAATTACATTACTTCGGGAATTAAGTGAAACATCAACCATGTAATTAAGAAACAAATCATACAAATCATAAAGCGAACATATGTAAACCTATTGATGAACAAAATGTTATGAAATGTGTGTATCTATGGCACAGAATATCTGTCTGTGTCTGTCTGAAGAAGGATGCCAGACGCTTGAGGATAGCCTCACCCTATTTTCCAGCAAAAAAAATGGGGGTATGTGAACCTCCCAGGTGACTCAGGGGTCAGCCCAAGTGCCTAGTTTTTTTTAAGGAATATCGGCATCTTTAGCAAGCCCCTATGATTTCCATGAAATTAAATAGTGGATGTGTTTTCCGTGTAGTTTTGATGGTTATTCTTGCTGTTTACTTCAAATCTTCTGATCCAAAATCGGTAATAAGAACCTCATAATTGGCAAATAATTAATAACTTGCTCGCTGCAGAGTATAAGAGGTTCAAAATCTCTTATATATGGATACTATCTCATCAGGGAACGACAGTCCCCAATCCAATAATCCAAGTGAGGAGTGTGTAATCCTCCATTAGCAGTTCAGCAACACCATAAAGTAGTGCAATACCCCCATCTTTCCTCACCATAGAAACCCTCCTCACCCAGCACAATCTCTGTCCCCCATCAAATGTCTACCTTACCCACCCAAACCTGTCTCCACCCTCTCCCATTATCTCCATGCACCCCCCCCCTCCTTTTCTTTGGCTCCAACACGCCTCACTCCAACATCCTCCAAGACCATTTTAACTAGTTCACAGGACAACAACCACATCAACTTTGCCACACCTCAGAACAATTTCTTACACCAGCGAAACAGCTGTCAATGGGGAGGTAAAAGAGCATGGACAGAAGACAGTGAGCTTCAAGACAATGTATTCAAACAAATGGGATTACAAAGAAAAGAAGTGAACTTCGGGATAAGAAGAAACCCCAGATAACACAGCGCTCACAACAACAAAAACTGAGAGGCGTCATAACAAATGCAGTTTCTGCAGGACTTCAATGCAATATGCAGACGACGAGTCACAATAACGTGGCTGAAATATGTTGACCAAACCACACACTAGAAAGTGAAGGGACGACGACGTTTCGGTCCGCCTTGGACCATTCTCCAGTCTTCAATGTAGTCATGAAAGAGAGGGAGGGAAGAGGCGGAGGAGAAGGAGTGGTTCTGCTGATAAGGAAGGACTGGGGTTTTGAGGAGAGGGATATCTCGGACTGTGAAGTGTTCAGAGATTATATAACAGGCACATATATTATTATGTATGTGTAAACTAAGTCTTTGAAAATGTAATAAGAAATTATGAAACGCGTTCAGGCGTCAGACAATAAATAAAAATGAATTTTGGAGAATTGATATTTCAATTACCATCAACAGTGAAGAAAAACATAAGAAATATTGAGAAAATTCGTGTTAGAATTATTAATCTTACCTTTTCGGTCATATTCAACAACATACATATATATAAATATAAATATATATATATATATATATATATATATATATATATATATATATATATATATATATATATATATATATATATATATATATATGCTCGGAGACCCTCGGTTCGTGGGGAAAATGTGCATTGAAGTTCCTGAAGGAATTGGGGGACAAATTGATCAGCGCTACAAAAGACCAGAGAGCAAAAAGTTTCTTGTTCCAGCGCCTCAGTGTTGCGATTCAGAGGGGAAATGCCTGTTGCGTCTTGGGCACTAGTCCAACTTCAGAGGAATTCGAAGAAGTGTTTGACTTGCAACAATGATCGAACCCGTCTGTGACATTCATCAATGTTTCCCATTGTTGTGTTCTTCAAGAGATCCATAACCTTTAAGCACCTTTTTGCATTATTATTTTTGTATCAACCCATGTATATCTTGTAACCATCAAATGCATAATAAAGCACAAAAAATATTCAAGGAAGGGGGTGGTAGGAGAAAAGCACACAGAAACTGTATTGGAGGGGATCTAAACATTCCCTCTAATGCGTTATGCGTGGTTTCCTCCGAGGCTATGGGTCCCCCTTCTTCCAGCTAGAGGTGGTACTCCCTTCCCTCTATATATATATATATATATATATATATGCACAACTTGCCTAAACACGCAAGAGAAGTTATACAACCTTAGAACACTTTCCCACCAGGAGATTCGAACCCTAGCCAGCACAGAAGCCTTATAGCAACTGGCATAACTGGTACGCCTTTAACACCTATACCACCTATTTAACACCTAACACCTGGTACGCCTTGTTAAAGGCATACCAGTTATGCCAGTTGCTGTAAGGCTTCTGTGCTGGCTAGGGTTCGAATCTCCTGGTGGGAAAGTGTTCTAAGGTTATATATATATATATATATATATATATATATATATATATATATATATGCGAACAAGCCTGAATGGTCCCCAGGACAATATGCAACTGAAAACTCACACCCCAGAAGTGACTCGAGCCCATACTCCCAGGAGCAACGCAACTGGTATGTACAAGACGCCTTAATCCACTTGACCAACACGACCGGACATAATGAGGTAATAGCCGAGGCTATTTGAACCACCCCACCGCCGGC